ATTCGTAAATCCATAAACCGGACTCTGCGCAAGTTTCGTTTAGAGTGAATAATGACCAAGTTACGGCATGGCTTGCGGAAGAATGTTTAAAATCATTTTTTGCCGCAGTCCCCTAAGAGTCACTACTCCGAAAGACTACCCTTTCAAATGTAGTTTCAATGCAGTTGATGTAGCGCATTTGCATATTTGCAACCGGCACTGGACGAAGACCTTGATGTTTTCATAGGTACAACGACTGATTAGACACAACTGCTGACAGCTAAAATTCACCTGGAAGTATAAACGTGACAGCAGACAAAAAGGATATCGAATTATATCATGATGTCGAGAGCCAGTTCTGGGATCGCGAACGTTACGTGATAATTGACCTTATACGGAAGACGCGTAGTCGCGCTTCCATTTTTAGTCATCTTGGTCCAAAGCATTGTTTATGCAACTGTCCTGGTAAATTTCTAAAAGGATTTTTTGGATACGAATCGAAATATCGATTAACGCATTTATTCAATTCGTGGCCAATTTTCTTTCTGATTGAAATTCGTAGGGTACAACAACTCGCTTGTGTGTTGACAATGCTTGTTTACTCATCTCAAGTTTTTTTTTCAGTTATGATGGATCAGAGAGTAAGATTGCTTTAATTATTGAGAAAAAAATCATGGCCTTAGTTACCGCCATCTTTAGCCGCCTATGGGAACTGCGCAGGTGACTTTAGGTGAATAAAGTCTGACCATCTGAATGTTTCATATTTTGATTTTAAGAAGCGTATGTCACATTTATAGAAGAAGGTTCCTACGTCAACAACTCAACAGATGATCACTTAACCAACATGGAATTTTCTATGCATCTTCTCGTTGAAAATCTTCTTTCTTGCTGTGCTGCTTAGTGATGAGTTACGACATATTTTAGACAAAATTTCGATGTTTTGAATTGAGCCTGATTATGCTTCAAAGAACATTATTACAACAACTACAAACTAGTGTCAGCAATCAAATGTCTATGCAGAGTAACCGTTTACAAGACGGTATCAATGAATAACATGCAAATATAAATAGAAAATTTTACACGTAAAGAATTCAAGCAATCGTTTTAAAACTTTATATATACTGTTTTGCCATATTCAACAGTCAGTTAACAGGTGGCTTATTTTTTGGGCATTGCAGCCGTGAAGTTCTGTAATTATGTCGTCGCAATTGGTTAAATAGCAAAACGATCCATCAGTGATAATGGAAGACGGAGTAACCATGGTGATTATGAGTCATATTTTCCTAGGAAAACTATGCGTTGCTTATAAATGCAGACAGAGTGAGGGATCGATGTCTTTTGGAAGTAACGATGTTCGTAGCACCATGTCTTCTGCCCTGTAGACAATTGATAACGTTTCGAATTCATGATGATGATCAGCTTGTTTTTCCAGCTTCAAGCTCAGAACGGAAGGCATGTTGCTGAAGGCAGAGTTTTCTCCTACCATGGAATACATGGTGCAAGCGGCAGAGACGATCATCGCCGCGGCGGACGGTAATTCAGTCTTTCGTGGCTTCGCTGAAACTTACCGTTTCTTTAGAGATTCTGAACAATCGCTCTTTACCCGGTTTGTTGTATTTGGTACTTTTGGTTGGAAACTTTCTGAACAGCGTAAGCGAATCAGTTCATAATTTCTACTCATTGCTCAGTCGGTGATCGTAGCCCATTTTCAGGGTTGTTACAACGGCAATGCCGTCGGGTTTCGTTTAACGTCGTTGTGGAAATTAGTCGAAGTCCGAGCCAACAAGCCAAACGTAACGCTGATGAACTACGTCGTGCTGGTACGAGTATTTTTTCTCTCTTTTTTTTCCGTCTGTATTGCCCCTTTCTCTTCATGCATAATGGAAATTCTACCTGCTTATATTATGTTCACAAACTTCGGCGGTGGTTAGCACCATTGTGCCACGCGTCTAGCCAATGGGAGGCAGCTTCCAACCTATCAGATGAGGCCTAGGAGGCCATGGAAAAACTTTGCGTCTAGCTGAGTTGATTGTTTCCCAGTCCTGATTTTCTACATTCCACGCATTTCGTGCCTTAAAATATGCACACCACAACAGGCCCTACAGTTGACTCCATCTGTTGCAAACTGCAGACTAAAATTTTTAAATGCGCGACATCATCATATAACGAAACCGAACGACTGCTTTTGTCAATTTAAATATCCTGCGCCAGACACAACATAGTTATTAGCATAAAATCATCACAAAGATATTCTATGAGGGTACATTTGCATATTTCAGTTTTTACGTCGGTTCATACTCTGTATTCATCTGGACCAGTCGGTCGGTAATCGATGACGAATCATGCCAGCCGCAACACTTTGTCTCGTCATCCGCTGACGGGACTGACAACGGCCTGTAGAATTTCATACAGACGTGTCCCCGAATTCCGTCAGGAGTTTTATCGAAGTTTTCTCTTCTAGCCCTTGACCAAATGACGTATAACCTTAAGGGAATGGTAATATTAGCGACCTTCTTTCTTCAAAGGAGCTTG